AAACCAGCATTTTAAAAATGTGGAGGGAAAATCCAAAAAAGGGCTTTTACATGAGCACTTGTTGCGAGTACATAAAAGGCATCCCAGTGATGGATACTCTGTGTACATTTAAGGAATCGGGCATGCAAGATACAATGGTAAACAAAATACGAAGAAAAAAAATGCGCCCAAAAACATTTTAGACCCAAGGAATAAATGTAGACAGTTGAGTAAAATACCTCTGGACCATTGAAAACAGAAGGCTCATTCATATCATTCCATATATACAAGGAAGGAGTCGAACCAACATAGTTTTCAAAAGAAAACATGTCTCCCCACCATGCCCTGATCTGTGGACTTAACATGTCTAGGTAGGATGATGAACCTGGCCAGCACCAACCATCATAATCATTTCCAGCAGCATCCTTGACATAATATCCCTTCTTGGTTGCTTCCGTATGCAATGGAAAATAACCGTCCCGCTTAATATGAGGATCCACTATGGTAACCATGTGCCTTCCTTTGGCAGCCAACTTCCTCTGCATCTCTTCCGGATGGGGAAAAAGCTCACTGTCCCATGTAAAATACCTTCTTCCATCTGTGTGATCGATATCAAGCACCAACACATCGTAGGGAATATCATGTTCATCAAATTTAGAATCCACATTCGCAACATCCTCTTCATTCCTATAATTCCACCTAGATTGATGATATGCTGTTGCAAAGAGCTGGGGCATTGCCGTAGTCCCCGTCACACTTGTGTACTGCCGAACAACATCCTTAGGCTCTGGGCCTACAAAGAAGAAAGTATCCACAATGCCCGCCTCACTCATCCAGAAACTATCAATCCTACCTTGAGATGAAGGAAGAGAAATCCCTGATTCAGCATCCCAGCCAGATCCAAGAACATCAACTTGCATTTCAGCAGCATTCAACCAAAAAAACCCAGAAGTTCCCCGCAATTTACCGTGTGAAATCATGAAAGGGACTGACCCGTAAATCCCAAACGGAGAATCATGAACATACTCGAAAACATCCAAATTAAACAGCCTATAAGGTTCCGACACCTCGACGCCGGGTCCTCTGGTGGGCTTAAGAGCGAGACTAGTTGCACGCTCCGGTATTCCATAAACATAATCAGCATCATAAAACGAAACGTCGAAACTAATCGATTGGGGACCGTACGGCCTGGTATCAATATGTCCTCTAAACTTCTCCTCCCAGTTCTCGCCTTCTTTTTTAACCCTCAATTGCTCGAAATCGAATAAACCATTAGAATTTAAAGATAAAACGCGCTTACCTGACTTCTCACGCACGAAAACCTCAAAAGGATCTTGCCGAAGCACTGCCTCATAACCATCGGACAAGTACACAATCGAAGACGGCCTCAAATCGGAGCCAATCGTCTCGGTTGAAAATCGCTGCAACCAAAGCTTATTGCTCAAAAACTCATCGAGAATCACATACGGCACCTCGAATCGCTTTTTGGGAGGATCTAAAGAAGGATCCTCGTCGATCCTGAGGCGCAGAACGCCGCCTTGATGCACAGAAAGAGCGAGTAACAAGGGCTTGGATGGATGATCTGGGTTCTGATTCCTGGGAAGGAGCACGGCAGTGAGGTCCCCATCATTAATAGAAACATCATGAGCTACAAGAGAACACGATCCAGGCTTAAAGGCGCGGGCTCGCTTGCAGAAGGGAGTCTGGTTACAGCTCCTGAACTCGTCCTTCTTCCATGGGAGGACGAAGGTGCAGAAATGCAGAGGCAAGAGGAGTAGAAGGAGAAGGTAGGAAACTCCCATGGTGGCTTCGATGAGGCACTGATCATAATGGTTTGAAAAATGTTAAATTATTCATTTAATGTTTTTTTAATGAATTTTTTATATTATTATCTCAAAAACAAAAAAAAATAATAATAATAAAAAGTCTAAATTTAACGTATTATTTTAGTTATTCGTATATTTATATTTATAATTTAATAAATAGCACAAATACCGTAAAATCCTAATGTTAACCATCATACATGTTTTTCTTGGTAACTACATTAAATTATAGACTTAGAACTGTAGTGGGGCCAAAACCAAAATATGAGGCCTTTTGGGAAGCCCAGAGTAAACCCATGGAGAGCTTATGCTCAAAGTGGACAATATCATACCATTGTGGAGATTCGTGTTCGTCTAACACGTTTTTAGTCAAAATACCATTAGCGGCTTTTGTTTGTGTGTTCAATGTTGCTTCGAAACGCTATAGGAAACCGTACTAAGGCTTAAATTTTGAAGAAAAAATAGTAACTTAATTGAAAATTGTAATTGATTGGTTGAAAAAATTGAGCTACAAATCCACAATTATTCAATCATTTGTTGTCTCATCTCTAATACTCGTATATTGTCCTTACCATCTCTTTCAACGTAAACGCATTTTAAAACCTTGAAGGAAACCTCACAAGAGAAAGCTCATAGAGAACAATATCTTCTAATGGTGAGCTTGGACGGTTACAAATGGTATTAAAGCCAGACATTGGACGATGTGCTAACGAGGACGTTGGGTCCCAAAGGGAGATGAATTGTGAGATCTCACATCGATTGAAGAGGGGAACAAAACATTCCTTATAAGGGTATGAAATCTCTACCATAGACACGTTTTAAAACCTTGAGGGAAAACTCAAAGAGACAATATGATAAGATAAGGAATCACTACAAGGAAAGTAAGATTCGGACTACCTTGTTGATTGAATATCTCAAGACAAGAACATTGTTTGAAATTCGAATCACTCCATAAGCAAGATTGATCATGTCGAGCTTGAATGATTCTACATGCAACCTAAACTACATAGAATTGCAAATAAACTTAGCTATTGGCTAAAGAAAGAACAAATGCTCCTTTTATATGTATTTTCCAAGTCTCCCTACAAATACAACAGGTATGTTTTTATATAGCCTCAAAATGAAACTATTAAAGGCATTCCAAGAGTTGTATCATTCAATACGTAATGACTATAATTAACCATTATGTAATTGTAACCTAGATTAAATAAAAAGTCTGAAATACAATAACTCTAAGTTACTCTAAAATGTGATCCACTCAAAATTTATAACATGAAACTTCATTCTTCTCCAATGTGCCATGAACTAAAATATCTTTTGATAATTTCAACAATATTTTCTTCACATCTTCATTGAAGTATATTGTATGATTGATGTCTCTTGGTTCATATCTCACAATATTTGTTAGCAGTGAGGTTGAGGTTTGACTATTACAAATTTCTTATACTCAAATGACAAAAGTCGAGACGGTTCGGAACTTCTAGCAACCCAAATTTGCGGAATAAAGACGAAGAGATAGACCTAGTAATAGTGTAAAAGGGTTATTGTCTCATTAACTAAACAATTGAAATTTGTGAATGTTCTCACCGTCTTCTACCCGAAGATTAGAATATATTCTTTATAAAAGTAAAAAGAGTATATAGTAAAAGAGAACAATAGGATGTCTACGAATAACTCTGTTTGGTATTATATAACTAAATTATTTTTAACAATTTTGTTATATTAGTTAATAATAGATAATTAAGGGTGGTTAAAAAAAGAAGAGTAATTCATTTATTTAATTTTTTTTTTTTGTCAAAATGAAATAAATAAATTATTATTTTAAATAATTAATTATAATAATTTAATGAATTAAAGTTAAATTTATTCAAATTGAGAGATAGAATGTTATCATAAATGAATAATAATATTTTTAATTTTTGTAACTACTTCTATCAATTTTATTACCTTAATTAACTTTAGATAATTAATGGTTATTTCTTTAATTAACTTTAGATAATTAATTGTGCTTCGTTAGTTTTTTATTAAATTAAATTATTAAAATGATTTTAATCAATTAAATTAATAAATATATTATAAATAATATGTCATTTTAGGGTTTTGAATTTATTTAATAGTAAATATTAATAAATATTCTTAAATAAATAATTTATAATTAAAAATAATTGTAGATATTATATAGCAAAAATTGAATATAATTTATTATTTCATTTCAGAATAAAAGAACAAAAATTATTAAAAATGAAAAAAATGAATGAATTATAATCGCTTAAATTTTCAATTATTTTATCATTAGTTTCAACAATATGGAAGTCTCACCATACGCCCAGCCAAAATCTCGTGCAAAGATAGCGTCGAGACACCACCATTAGACAATGCAAGGCACTCGTGTGCTCATGCTGAGAAGCACTTGTTCTATTCATGTTTTCATGCGTTTTGTCAAATTTAAATGAATAATTATTTTTTTATAGTATGTTTATTTCAATCATTAACGCCAAACGTCATCCATTAACTTCTAACTGTAATTCTTATTTCAAAGTCTAGACACGAAACATCATTCTTATTAAGCTCACTTGAAGATTTGAATACCTAACCTCTTAGAGTGCACGAAACATCATACTTATTAAGCTCATTTGAAGATTTGAATACCTAACCTCTTAGAGTGCACGACACTTTAAAAGCTTAACGAAATATAATTTATTTACCAAGTTTTAAACACTAATTTACCTATTGTGGATACTTTAGGAAGCTGTGGATTATAAACTTGCAAAAAAAAAAAAAAAAAAAAAAAAAAAAAAAAAAAAAAAAAAAAAAAAA